CAACTGTCTACTTATGGATTTCTCGATATATGCAAGGTTCAGAAGGGTTCAATCTCCCAGCGTAAGTATGCCCGAGTGGCCAATTCTTAATGACGTGTCATGCCTCGTCGCCCAGACCACCTCTGGGTGTGCAACATACAACCACGGCGGATTCTCATGGAGCCTCTTCAGACAGGCCGAGTAAGCCTCTGCCCTATCCTCTCTTGTGATCTTACTCCGTGCCGTCTGGAACAAATCCTGAACGTCATCGTCATGGAAACCTAGCCACCAAGTGGCGTGAGACGAGCTCGACACCTTGTCGTCCAGTACCCTGAACGTGCTGTTGGGTGTTGAATCAAATAGCGCCAAGTCTCCAATCTGCTTTTGAAGCCCAATCTGCCTGGCGTACTCTGGCCGGTTGGTCTCAACTCTAACCTCAACGTCAAACCCGATCGCTTTCAAGGACCTGGCGACGAAGCTGGAGATCTTCTGCGCGTGCTCCGGCATGTATGTCGGGGTCCTCAGAATGAGCGACTCTGTCGGGTCCAGGTCCTTGAGCAGCTCCCTCGCACGCTCTGGGTCGAAGGGGATAGGCTGCAGCTGTGATTCCGGAAAGCCAAGGTGGAAAGGGCTCACAATAGTAGCCGACGGAAGTGCGAAGCCCTTGTACACCTCCTTCACCAGAGCATCGTTGTCCACTGCAAGATTGACCGCCAACCGCGCCTTCGCCGAGCGAAAGATGCCCTCGGTGCAGTTGAGGTAGTAAATCGCAGAAAGCGTGCTCGTAACCCTGCCCCATCGCAGCGACGCCTCAAAGTCCAGTAGGCCAAGATCCTCAACCCTTTCCAAGTTCAGCGCCGCGTCCACCTCTCCCTCGCGCAGCTGCTGCAACCTCTTCGCCGCATTCCCATCCTGCGTCGCAACAATGACATGAGGCGTCCCATGTCTCGACGGGCTCACCCGCTGCAGCTTCGCCCTCCCCACGCCCTCCTTCCGCACAAACTCCACCACGCGAAACGGCCCCGTCCCAAGCACCGGCTTCCCATCCCCATCCACCCTCACCGGCCAGAACTCGCAAAAGATGTCAAGCACATACGCAAATGCGTCCGGGTTCTCGACCCTCACGGTCCGCGCGTCAGACGCCGAGATCGTCGCGCGCGCGAAGTAGCGGCTGTAACTCCAGCGCATGCCGAAGTAGTCGCGCGAGTCCAGCAGTCCGAGGATGTAGCTCACGACGTCCTCGGAGGTGCATGGCTTGCCGTCGTGGAAGACGGCGCCGTCGCGGATGTGGAACGTCCAGGTCCGGCCATCGTCGGAATGCGCCCAGCGGTCGAAAAGGCCGGGCTGGACCTTGCCGTGGGGCTGCCAGCGGAGGAGCGGCTCGAAGACGAGGCTCTTGAGCGCGGTGACGCTGGCGTCGTCGGTGACTTGGGTTGGCAGGCGGAAGTCGACGTTTTCGAGGGATATGCGGACGGTTTCTGGCGTCATTGTGGTGGTTTGGGTAAGCGATCGGGCGGCCGGGAATAAGATGGGTGGAGGCCCAGGGTGAACATCAAGATGCGGTGGGAGATTTCGGCAGATTTCCACCCGAGATCAACAACTAACTGGAGCAGCACGACTGAGGAAAAGTGATAAGGTGTCTTGAGCATGGTTCTGCGGCGTACGGGGTTTATGTGCGATCGCGGCGATGATCAGCCCCCGCGCAGAGCCGGCCGGGCAAGTGGCCGACGCATGCTACATCACTGGGGACGTGTCTTTGTAGCACCGGGGGATTTCGTCCACATGAGCTGTGGAAACCGAGATCATATCTCAATGCGCCCTCGCATGGGATTACAGTTCTGACTTCAGGTTGCGGTCGCCGACACCGCAGAGACTCTGTGCGTCCTCCTACCCATTGCCTGGCTCAACCCGGTTCTTGAAAATATGAAGAATATTTACAAACACATACCGGAGAAAAAGCACCGAAATTCTGCAAACACAGCAACTATCCGGAGTCGGCACCGGCATACCAAGCCGGTGGTAGCAAGGCGACAGAGCGGAGCGAGATAACGACATTGCGGGGCACCTATCACGACATGTCGGGGTCGAGCCGCATATGCAGTCGCTATCGTCCGACAGCGGCAGTCTTCAATGCCTGCCGGACTCCTCCTCGAGCTAAAGTCATCAGGCAAATTCGAGAGACAGTGGCAGGTCCAGCCCCCTTATCCACTTGCAGCATCTACGGCGCCCCTGGAGATGGGGCAGAAGGATTCGACGATTTTGGCTCGCAAGGAACACGATGACACCATTTTGGAGCAGCAAATCAGGACCCTGGCGATGAAAAAGCCCATGTCGGTTCGATATCTAGTTTCCATGAAAGTGGTTAGCATGATCGGGAAAAATCGTTGCGCTCGCAGGTGTCAAAGTATATAGCAATCTGGGCTGAACGGAGCTCCGACCTGCAGCTGCACATCAGAGGTGACTGGAGACGGTTGATTACATATAGCCCTGATTCTATCCTTTGCTATTGGCTGCAATGTCTGATTCGAAGACCATCGCCCCCGTAGCCGTGTCGGATACGACGTCTGATCTGGACAAGAACTCCAAGGAGACGAGGCCACTGAGCATTACCGAGACCCCTTCCGGTGATGTAAAGACCTCTTCGTGGTGGAGAAAGATACTCGGATATGTCTGGGACTCCGTCGAAGGAGACCCTGAGTATCGAGCATATGTCCAAAGACTGGATCTCTTCTTCTTGTAAGTTTCTTCGAACCCGGTCTCACCAGAGCCTTGCCTGACGGATACGCAGTCCCACAGTCTGTCTCGGATACTTCATCAAGTACCTTGACCAGACAAACTACAGTGAGTACCTCTCTCCCAGTCAAGCAACTCCCGCTAATGCCTACCAGGCAATGCTTTCGTCAGCGGCATGCAACAAGACCTCGGCCTCTACGGCAACGAGCGCAACTGGTTAAACACCTGGTTCAGCCTCGGCATCATGGTCGGCAGCGTCCCCGCCCAGATGACCCAGCTCAGCTTCGTGCGCTCCTCCGTCCTGATCCCGACGTGCGAGGTCGTCTGGTCCCTGCTCGTCATCGGCATGGGCTTCGCCAAGAACATCCAGACCATGTATGCCCTGCGGTTCTTCATCGGGCTCTTCGAGGCGTGCGCATTCCCGGGCTACATCTCCATGCTCGGGGGCTGGTACGGGCCGAAGGAGCTGACGAAGCGGCTGGCCATTCTGCTGCAGGTCGAGTCTATCGCCAGCATGTTCAGCGGGTATCTGCAGGCGGGGCTGTATACCAGCATGAATGGTCGTCATGGGTTGGCAGGGTGGAGGTGGCTGTTCATCATGGATGCCATCATCTCGCTCCCGATCGCCGTTTGGGGGTTCTTTGGTCTGCCTGATCTCCCGCACAACACGAAGGCCTTCTACTGGTCAGCTGAGGTATTTGCTCTTCCCTTGAACGTAATCTCAGACCTCATAGTACTAACAAACTGCAGCATGTCAAGTACGGTGTAGAAAGAATCGAGCGGTTCGGCCAAAGGGCCCAAGAAAAGCTGACATGGAAGGAGGCCAAGCGCATCTACCTCGGCTGGGAGATCTGGGTCTTTGTTGTGCCTTACACGTAGGTTACCGCCAACGCAGACTGCCATTTCTAAAGCTAACAGTGACGGTCTAGTATGGTCGCTGCCTGCCACTCTGCGACGAGCTACTTCAACCTTTGGCTGAAGTCGGCGGGCTACTCGGTTGTGGATGCGAATATCTATCCGACCGGCGGAAGCGCTCTGAACATCGTCGTGACCGTGATCTGGGGTATCATCGCCGATCACACGGGCCAGAACTATGTGATGATTGTCACCGTACAGGCCTTCATGATCCTCTCCAATATTCTGCTCTCCGTCTGGACTATTCCCAAGGGCGCTCTCATGTTCGCATACTATCTTTCATACGCCGGTTCTTCTGCCACACCAGTTCTCATCGTGAGTGTGTCTCTGGAAGTGCTGAAGCTTATGTCACTGACATATCACAGAGCTGGGCGAATAGACTCAACGCCGGTGACCCCAGCGTCCGTCAATTGTTAGTTGCCACGGCCAACGTGGTTTCTTACGCCTTTGTGCTTTGGGTGCCTTGTAAGTTTCTAACTACTGCTCGATGAAAATCATTAGAAACGGTGCTGAACATGCCGCAGTGGTCTTGTTTCCTACATACGATGCTCCGAAATACAAGTATGGTTACCAGATTCTCATACTATTCGGGGGGCTTGCCATCATTAGTGTGACTGTTATGTGGTATATGTATCGACGAAGAGAGTAAGTTGTGACTTCGGCGTCTGATAGACAATGTCCAAACGCTGACCCATCCCCGCGCAGTCAAAAGCAATCCCAACAGGAACTTCAGGGTACGGAGGCTGGCCAAGTTGTTGACAGTGAACGCCCGTCTCATTGACGATTGGGCTTTTGAGCACGATATGGGGGATGATAATTCGCTTTTAGACATGAGGGGCAGGAACAGAGTGGAAGGGAACATAGATGCGAACATGTACAAGAGGACAATCAGTCGAGTAGAGACATGGCAGGGGCGTAATAGGTGACCAAGACCACAGTGTCCTGGTACACGAGCAAACATCGTGGCTCCTATTGTCCAACTAGATAGCTTAGGTTAACCATAGAGCATAGCTTATAAAATTGCGGAAATGCGGCACCGATTAATTCCCCCAATGACTGTGATTTTGTACCGGGACTTGCCAGCATCTTCTAAGACACCTACAAAGCTATCACGGCTATAATCTCAACCCGAGATGCTGGCCTTGACAAAAAAGCTGCTTGGTGTCTTGCGCTCAGTCAGGCAGCTGGATCAAAAAGATCGAGACATCCAGGGCCCCCTGGCTCCCCCCTCCGGTTTGGTGCCGATGACGTCCCCGCACTAGACCCGAGAGATCGGGTCTCTCCACCGGCAATGTCGGTATATAAGACCGACTTGTCGCGCCATTGATGTCTGTTGCCGGCTGTGTAGAATGCATTCCTACAAGAATTTCAATATGGACGACACCTTTCCGGACACTCTCAAAAGACCGCGTTCAGAAGCGGTAGCCTTTGGCAGCGAGCCCCTACTGACTCGACCGGATGGCACCGTCGTCAACCTAGCCAACGGCTACGTCCCACTCCTATCGAACTTCACTTTTGAAGACAAAGCCGCTAAGGGCTTGCGGAAACGCAAAGCCAGAGATGAGCGGGAGGTCCCGGTCTACTTCTCCGCCGTCGAGCTTGTACGCGACAACAGGATCTTGCTTCTGACGGGCCCGAGTGGAAGCGGGAAAACCACATTCGCGAAATATGTTAGCTACCGGCTGGCGACGGACGGCTTTCGGTATTCCCGTGCAGTAGTTCGCAATGAGCTGGGAGATTTGCACGAAGAGAAATGGGAAACTCGCAAGCTTGAGCCCTACTACTTCCTCGTTGATGGAGCCAACTCTTTCCGGACCTTTGTGGACAAAACTGTCCCAGAATTATTGGCGCTGAATGGAGACCGGGAAATCGGGTTTCAAATCATCATAGACGAGGTCGATAAGACTGAGAGTGAGGGAATTGAGCTTCTGGGCTCCTTTAGTGCCTTGGTAGAGTCGGCCAACAACACCCGGCTTCTTCTACTCGGGGACACCAGAGTTTGCAGCTACTGGATGCTGCCGTCAGTCATGGCTCGTCATGCCATATTACCGCTTCTGTTAAACCAAAAAAAGCGAGCAGCTGACGAGCTTTTGGGTCTAAAGGAGATTCAGGACGGCATAGCTTTGGGCCACTCAGCGTCGAATCCTGCCTTATTCGCGTTGGCACTTCAAGCTGGATGTGCGGCCGAACAGGCGGAAGATATTTTCGATGAGTGGGTTAGGGCTGTCGAATCGAAAATGCCTCCCGCAACATCCCTTTCATTAAAGGCACACGAGGAGGCGGTGAGAACCAGAGCCGTTGAACCGCGAAGCAGGTTGGATTTGCCGACATCATTGTTGACTCCGGCCTGGTCCTGTAACGCAGTTCAGCAATTGCTTGCAGCTCAACACCTATCAACTCTCCCGTTCGAAGAAGTACTCGCCTTCTACTATGAGGACCCGATCTCTTCACAACCAGTCATGAGAAGTTGTTTGGTCCGTCTAGCAGGTTCTCACAAAGCGGAAACACTGTTAGGGCGGCTACTTGACGGGGCGTCACCAGAATCTCACCGCGCTGCCCTGCTTGTTGCCGACCTCGTTCCCAAAGGCTCACAATTGGAACAGTCGGTAATAAGACTGGTGCTGGAAGTCGTGGAAAGAGGCTTATTGACTCCGAAGGAGCGTGAGAAAGCTGGACGCATTCTTTCCTCTCTGGGCGACCCCCGCAACCTCACAGGCCTCGCACAAATACCCGCTGGAACCTTCGTCATGGGCTCTGAAAGTCATCCCAACTCACACCCACCAAACTCTATCTCACTCGGTAGTTTCCGGATTGGCATCTATCCAGTCATCAACAGGGACTATTCGGCGTTTTCTCATGAGACCGGCCGAGACTGGCTTAGCCCGGATGGGACGGACCCGGAAAGGTTAAACGCGCCAGCGACAGATCTTACCTGGCACGACGCGCGGGCTTACTGTAGGTGGCTGACTGAACGATGGCGGTTGAACGGGGAATTAACCACAAACGACGAGGTCAGGCTTCCTACAGAGCCCGAGTGGGAGCGGGCGTGTCGCGGAGACCAGTTTGAGGCTGGCAGCGAGGGGCTGGTGTATCCCTGGGGCACTGAGTGGGAAGCCGATGGTGCAAACTCAGAGGAGGTCGGTTTCAATAACACTTGTGCAGTTGGCTTGTTTCCGAGGGGTCGCTCGCCCTACGGTTGCTACGATATGGCGGCACAGGTATGGGAATGGTGCACGACTCTTTGGGGCGAAGATATGGCAAGCCCGGCGTTCAAGTACCCGTGGAAGAATGATGAACGAGAGGCTTTGCAAGGCCCAGAGAAGATTCGTCGGGTATTACGCGGGGGATGTTTCTCTAGCCCAAAAGCCAAAGCCAACTGCACGTACCGAGGGAGTCTTGAACCAGCGGGGTTCTGGAGGGGGAACGGGTTTCGAATTGTCGTCGCGCCGCGTTCTCCTCAGTAAGAATCCATTACAATAGCTTGAAGGCGTACGGTCAAGCTTCAGTCACTCCGAGCATGCTTATGGCGTTATCTTGTGAGGATCGGTGATATGTGCCGGCCACGGCCGGGTACCCACTCTTGAGGGAACGGCGCCGTGGAGCCACCCCGGCCGGTCTCGGAGATCGTGGCCGGCAACACCATAGTGGATCGGTATTACGCCATTATCTACTTGCAGGAGCCGCGCCTCATATTCTCTAAGAAGAGATCCCTTCGTAACATCGCATTGTTCTTTTCTCTTCTCAAATCGCAGCTTCCTCTGCTTTCGTTGGCTCAGCAATCTCGTCTTTGTGTCTCGAAAGTAGCTCGTCACCGCCAAGATGCCCATTATTACAACCTTCACGCTACCAGATTCCGTGGAAGCTCTTCAACTCCCCGGAAATCCCGATGCATCCTTTTTCATTACATTTACGACATCAAACCTTCCGGAAACAGGGGAGTCATGGTGTCCTGATGTCAGAGCTGCCTTGCCATACATCAATGCCGCCTTCTCGGCCGAGACGGCGCCGAACATGGCCTTCGTTGAAGTTGGCCAAAGACCCGAGTGAGTGGATATCTGCTGGCACACGTCCGGGCTTCGGTCGTCGGTTCTCTGCAGCTCAACTAACTCCATGTAGGTGGAAAGTACCCACTAATGTCTATCGGACCAAGTGGAACGTTCACAACGTTCCAACCATTGTCCGCTACCAGTTGGTCAGTGGTGAAATCAAGGAGACGGCACGGCTGGTAGAAGGCGATATTCTTGACAAAGGCCGACTGCAAGCGTTGATTAAATCTTAATGGAGAGGATAGAACTTGAGAAATAGGTGGACAGGAAAGACGATCACGAGGATGTCTTCATCAGTTGGCCTGACCCACAGGCATTCTGATTGATAATGTTACTTTCTTCGTCATTGATACGTCGGTGTTTTCACGTTGGTGGGTGTCTACTATCGTTGGTGCAGACTACCTGGAAGGGCTGCTTCAGGGCGTTGCTGTTGCCGCCAGTCGTCACAAGCGGCCTCCTTAAGGTATCTCAGTTCATTTCATATCTAAGCACCAAAAACCAAAAGTCCTCGAATCAGACTTCAAGTTCATTCAATAATTCAATAATAGGTCGCAGTCATGGTGACCTTGTCAAGGACGATGAACTCGACGCCTTAGCACGATGCGGCCCGAAACAGATTATGACCAGGCTGAACTCATGATAAACTCCACTCTTGTGGATTTCTGGGCAAATTCACGAGTCTATACACTTGGTATGGCGCACCGTCGAGGGTGAATTCGTCGCCCCGAAACCTGGGAAATCTTGAACTACAAGAGCAGCTCCAGTCTCCAGATCTCCCATTAGTGTAGCAGCGGCAAGCCATTCGCTATTCAGACCTCTCACTTAATTTCATATGAGGGCGAAATGAGAGCCGGGTTTAATGCTGCCTTCCCCCGACTTGGAACGCTTCCGGAGCTGCCTTACCGCGAGATATGATAAGGAGGACAACACCTTCACCGCTCCGAGCAATTTGAGGACGGCGATAACTCAATTCTTGTCAACCTGTCTTTGGCGACTACGCCCGGCGCTCCACTTGAGGTATTCACATCGCCGACTACGTCGTCTATCTCTGACCCAGCACTCGCCTCGAGTCATAGGGCTGCGTCGCGGCATTCTGCTGCGGATACATGACGCTGACCGCCGGCCTTGGCCTTCATTGATGTCGGTCTCGGGACTTTGCAAGCAACAAAATTCGACGGCCTTGCGTTGAGAAGCATATTTGGTGGTGGTCTTTACGGATTTAAATAGAGTTTAGAGCTGCAGAGTGACACCTTAGTCCCAAATCGGCTCGCGTTACGTCGTGGAAAGCTTTGTGCTCCCGGCGGAACTTCCGAATGAGATGATCGCTCCAGGTTATAGGGGACGTGCAAAATGCGAGCCCGATATTCCGCGGGTATGTGAGAAGTTTTCGGCTAGCGGCTCGATACAATACGACCACATCAGTAAAGAAACCCACCTGCCCTGCCGTCATCCCGGACAAGTTGTTATGGCCTGAGCGGCTGGCCTGCAAAACTGGGGAGCCCCCGGCCGTTCACAACATGGGCGCCCGGAAGGCCCCTGCGGAGGCGTGTTTGAAGGCCTAATGATGTAAGGCATTAGCAGTATTTTGAACGACGAGGGTGCTTCTACGATGGACTGCGTCATTGTCAGCTTCTTCCAGTAATAAGATGAGCCGACATGTGCTGGATAGGCGAATATGAATGCCTTAAAGTGGCCGGCGAACTGGGAAGGGCGTAACACGCGTTCAAAGCCCTCCCGGGCCGCAGTCATGGAAGCTTTAGCCGCATCTTCAATGGGTCTTGCTTGCAGCACAAGCAACGAATTCCTCTTGATGCAGACTGAACAACGTGGATCCCACATGCAGACTAATTTGATCTATCCGCTGTGCTGGCCCCTGGCCAATCTGACGGAACCTTATTCCACGTTCTCATAGCCCGTGCCCGGGTTCTAACCAGTCTGTGCTATCACAATGGTAAAAGTGTCCATGTCACATAGTGGTATTCTGAATGCCTTCGGTAACGGGCTGCTGAGTGTCAGTTTCTTTCACCGCAGGTCACCCGACTTGAAAACCCTGCATCGACAGCCTGTCACTTGGCCGGCGCCTTTATCTGCGGAGCCGAGATCTCACTTTGTCGGATCTGGGGGAGTAGGGTCAGCTGCAAGATGCGGCGTACCAAGCGCATGACATGGGCTGGATACTCCAATCGTATCTCTTCTTCGACGGTGATAATTAACAGCGCATGCTGCCGGCGCCCTACGTGGCTGAGGCCAAGAAAGCTTGTTGCTTGCTCGAGTCACCGTTGGAATGACAGATGATTTGTTTCGTTGATAGGGTGTGAACGCGAACTTATTGAGACCGCTGGTTTCTTCAGCTTGTGCGGGTTGTAGTTAGTGGAAACCAATCGCGAGAACGACCATGTCATCTTTGAGTTGAAGTCGGGGACCTCGGACTAAAACTGGCACTGGTATTGGACACTTCAGTCTTTGGAACCAACGGCTTCAAAGTGTAATGGCGCTACGATGAGGGGAATTTGCTTGTGTGTGAGTGTGAAAATAGCGATTTTTGCCCCGGTTTCCCAGAGCATGTCGGCCATCTCAAATCTTCATAATCATCGCGGGTGTGCATAGAAGCCGGGAACTCTGTTATGACGGGGCAAGTTGACTAGCAGCCCCGAAATTGCGTCCGACAGGGGTTTTACGACTGTAGCACCTAGTCATGATCGACACGCTTCCGGGATTACGATTGCACACTTTCTTATGGAGTACCAGCTATTCGGCGAAAGTTAGCCTAAAACTGACAACCAACTGACAAATCATTTGTTTAGTTCAATCTCGGTATCGCATTCATAGCCTAAAAACTCTACTCGCTCGTACGCATAAAGAGCCGTTAGGGGAAGGCCAGTGAGGGGATATCTCCGCAGATGTGAAGGCCGTAGTTTAACCTACTCGAGTTTAAATACAAAGCCCCTGTCTCGGACGTGTGTCCGTGCACTCCGCGCTTTCCACGGAGACCACGGAGCTGAAAAACAAAAAGGCTCGCGAGGGACCGGCAAAACGGACACAGCACCGGGCCGTACGTAATTCAGAACACGCGCAGAAACCAAGTACAGTGTGCGAGAGGAGGAGACCGTCCGACCCTGTCGGTTTCTCTCGGCTACGCTACCACCATGGAGCCGGAGCACACGCCAAAGACCAGTGTCATTCCAAGAGCGGTAAGTTCCGCCTAACGGGATCGTCGCCCAACGCCGCTTACCAGCTGATACGGCGATACTAACACGCAATGATTGCTAACCACCAAAATGTTGTCGTCGTTGATAGTGCCATAATTGCCGGATCCGCAAGGTAAACAGAGACATTCTATTTATCACTTTTGCCCATCTTCGGACTTGCAGCCCGCGGGACGCGCTCATCGAACGAACCCCCTTTTTCTCGCTTATCCCTTTCGAATGATTGCTGCGTCTTAACTCCGTTCAAGCTGACACTACGCAGACGCGATGCAATCGAGAAGTTCCTTGCTCAAACTGCGTGACGTCCAAAATTCCATGTCGTCCGGCTGGAAGGCAACCAAGCCAGCGAGCTTCCGCGGACAGACCTGCTGAGAGGTAACCGGAGATATGCTCGCGGAAATACGGTCCAAATGCTGACGCGATGATAGCCACCCTAGCATTCAGCAACTTCACGAAAGGTTGAGGGCCGTCGAAGACGCCCTCCGAAACCAGACAGATAATCACGCAAATAGACACACCCCAAATTCTACTCCAAACACGACGCCTAATGTCGAAGATGACTCCTCAACGCATCATTGTTTGTGGGAAGACCAGCCGGTGTCTTTCGAAGGCGACTCATCTTTCAGGCAACAAACGTACTTGGCGAGCCAGATAGAGGAGTTGAAAGTCGAAGCCGCTCAGTCACCCATTGTAGTCGACGAGCTGGAGACGTTACGAGGAATTTGCCAGAGCCATGAGCAAACGGAGCCGAACCAGCTGCGAAGACTACCCCATGTGGGAAAAGGCTCGCAGCTGCAACTTCCACCTTCAGATTTGGTGATCCGGTTGCTCCGGACTGTTGGTGGTAAGCATCGATGTCTTTCATTCTCACCCTTACCATTGTTCATGAAAATGAGCAGAGACTAATCTGTGCATGACTCAGAACAATCAATACTATTTCTCTTTTACGCAGTTGAGAACCGGGTGCAAGTCGAAGACCTATGCCGCAGAGTCTACTTCTCCGTGGACCCGGTGACCATCGGCGAGGTCACGCTCCTAAATGGATTCTTGTCAGTTCTCTTGCGCGATATCGATTTCGAGAAACACCCAGAATTCGATCCCCAGGAAACAAGCCATGTTTACAACATGTGCCATGCAAACTTCAAGTCCGGCATCGAGACCTACGAGGTCATGGCAGTGCCGACATTCGAACATACTCTAATACTTTCTATAGCGGTAAGTCTTGATTGATGCTTGCAGATGGTCTTGATTACTTTTGGGGCTAACAAAATCTTTTGTAGTCATTACGAGCACAACAAGACGGAAACCTTGCATTGCAATGGACGGTAATGTCGGCAGCCGCAAGACACTGTCTCGCCCTGGGCTACAATCGGAAAGCAAGATTAGCAACGTTGTCGAGAGAAGAGGCCCGCAGAGCGCGACGCCTGTTCTGGCACGTCTATTTCGCAGACCGCGGTCTGACTCTGACCCAAGGCAAAGCCGCAATCATCCAAGACTTTGACATTGACGTGGAACCTTTCGAGATCTCTAATAAACCCGAGCGACGCCCATGGGACACATCCTTTTCTGCATTTATCGAGTTCGGGCGGATACAATCCAAGATCTACGAACATCTCTATTCCCCGGCGGCTTCGAGGACGAGCGACGAGGAACGCAGTGCTTCGGTAGCACATCTTACGAAGCGGCTGTCGGCGTGGTACGACTCGTGGCGAAGCGTGGACTATACGCATGCTTATCGCAAAGAACTATTTCAATTCACCTTTGACGGGCTCGACGTGGTTTACTACTCCATTCTGACGCTGGTTCATCGCGGAGCCAACTCATCGAACTCGGCGAGCTCCATAACCGAGGAGTGCTTCGACGCGGCAAGAAAGGGACTCACGGCGCATGCGACCGCCTTCCCTCGGTCCGCGTCTGGGGGTTACGCCGCGTTGTTCAGTTATGCAGTCTGGTAAGTCTACTCTACGGCATCTATCGATGCAGAATCCCGGCTGACTCCAATTCTCCTAGGACACATCTCTACTCCTCCTTTACTCCCTACATAATCACATTCCTCCACTGCATCCGACACTCCGACATCGAAGACCTTAACCTGCTCCGAAGCACCTTGGAAATCAGCGAGCGACTCAGCGGGTTGGTCGAGTCATGCAAGCGGCAGTACGAGCTGTGCAGGTCTCTGTACCGCATCGCGGAGGCATACATCAAGTCAAAGAAGGGCATCGCCTTTGTGGACGGGGCGCTCGAGAACACGATCCACCTGCCGCTGCAGCAGCCTGCCATGGAGAACTGGCCGACGTTTGACTCGCAATTGGAGCCGAACGCGTTTCCGGATCTGCACGTGGACGATTGGAATACTACGTACATGGGGCAGATGTCTTTCACCTTGGACAATCAGCTGGGCAAGGGTAATGCGTAGTCAAGGCGAGAGTTTATGGACCTGCGGCTCAATATCTCGGGTAGCAAATATTACATGATACCAACACTACACTCCTATCAGAACCTTTTTGTGGCTGCAAGCAGTGACCTTTTCCTGTTATGAGGGTGTCGTTGAATTTCAACCGAATAATTATGCCAAACTTCGGAAACCTGTTGCTTGGCAGGCTCATCAAAGCTGCATCGGTGTTCAACTTTTGGAAAGCAACTCATGTGTTGCTTTTGGAATACCATATCCCCACGGAGTCCGCGGCGTCAATGGGTAGGCGGACATTTAGGCCGCTGTAGCTGCGAGTTTACGGAATACATATCCCGACTCTGAAGAAGCTGTTTTACGGAATCCAGATCCCGACTCTAGACAGAGCCCCGGGACTGTCGCCGATACGCCAGGAAGGAGACTACGTTAACGACCTAAACTACAGATTAAAATACACAGGAGACTAAATCAGCAACCTTCAGGTTCACGATCGACAAGTTGAGTCATGGCGGCCGGCTCACCTTGGCGTCAAAACGTAGATGACGAGCCGCATCAAACAAATCACAAACTCAGCGGCATAGACGAAATAGACTTTGAATTTTCTTGCGAGTATTGCTTATTCGCGTTGACGATGCTGGGATACGATCTCACTGACAGCACTCCTAATGTCGTTCCGCCGATACCCTCCTAAAGCTGCCACATCTGCAGCATCGGGCTCATACGTGACAACCCTGTCTCCCGCATAGAGCGTCGACCGGGGCATCAGCGGGTGGTCCTGATCCAGAACCGGCAGTTTCTGCGGGTTTCCAACGGCGTGGAAGAACATTTCGAGGTACTCCGCGTACGTCATGTTCTCATCGCCAACCAGGATTGATCTTCCAGACACAGTCTCACTATTCTCAATCGCCCCGGCGATGGCTTCGGAAAGAGACTGCGTCGAAATAAAGTTGAGCCCTCCAGCTGGCGCGAAAGGAGGGATGGGGAGGTTTCCCTCCGCGTACTGTACATAGGCTTCGAACATCGGCGACTTCATGCCAGGGACCGTGCCGACGACGATCGGAGGATCTATGCTGCAGGCGTGGAAGTCGCGCGTGGCAAGTGCAGCGACCCCTTCGGCAGCTAGCTTTCGGGAGCGGACGTAGGGGCTCGAACGGACCGCGTCGGGCACGATGTGAGGATAGACGCTTCCAATGTGCACGAACACCCTGACGCCTGCTTCCCGAGCCAGGCGGCCGAACGCCGGTACAGCCTCTCCATTGGCTTGCAGGTAGTGTTCGTCGGCCCCCTGACCTTCCGGCACATGCCTGACGTCGCTCCCGGCCGCGAACACCACGGCTTCGAAACGGGCAAGCTGGTCCATAGTAATGTCACCGCGGAGGTAGTTTCCTTGGAGGAATGGGAGCTCGACGAGGGCGGCAACTTCCGTGGGTGCACGGCGGCCGCTGATGGTGACTTGGTGGCCTTGGGACCGGAGGTGGAGGGCCGCTTGGCCGCCGATCATGCCAGTGCCTCCCACGATAAGGATCTTCATGTCTCTTACTCGGCAGATTGTGGGTAAGCTTATTGGTGTGGGATCAGAGTAGGTGACGTAGAGTTCGTGTGTTGATGCTAGTCTAACAGGTGACGTCTCAAGGAATCGAGCTGACTCTTGAAGTCGCTCTTAAAGCCTTTTCACTTTCATCACAGCCGTACCATCTGCGGACTTTCGCAATTGTGATTTATAATTGATCATGGAGTTCATAACGATCTATTCTCATAGTACAAGATGGGATGAGAATTTGCCGCGGAACACACGGAATACGTGGCGAATCTGACGCTAACGCGCTGCTGTTGGTCATCAAGCCCCATTATCGACGGAACCCCTCTTGTCGGAGAGGAGGTCAAAGTGCACCTGTCCGCAAAGCGAGTGCGGAGTTTCGGTGATGCCCCGGTCTTGGCAAGTCTTCAATTCTATGACCATAAGGTATCGCCAACATTGCGTTTGAGCAAAGGTGTTAAACGAACGAGATGATCAACTCGGAAGGCAGACTTCACCGGAAGCAGCCCGATTGACAAGTGGAAGTCAAGCTAGTCATCGTATTGAAAGGTAGTTTTCAGTTGATAGAAGTCACGCATCCCGAATGCCGGCATCACGGCAGCGCCTGAAGTTTGGCTCCGGTCCGGAAAGGTGGAGACCCGGCTCCGTCCCGGGAACATGCTTTGCCCCCAAGAACGTCCGTCCAGCAAGTCATGCCTTCCTGTGCATAGAATCATCCCCATCTGATCGGAATAGAAATCATCTGCTCATCTGCCATGACCACCTCCATGCTTTCCTCTCGGCCCCTGTCTTGGCCTCCTTTCGGACTCTGAGAGATGAACTGTTGAGGAATCGCCATCGAGGAGCTCTTGTCAAGCGGACTTTATATCAGTCATCGACAAAATCAGAACTCGACTCTTTGCAGACTTTCAAATCATGAACTGGACGTGTTAATAGTACGAAACCACAGCGCAGCAAGCAAAGTGATGGTCCGCCCAGGTTCAAAAGTATCAGCCCGCGGAGTAGCGTGGCTTTCGCCATCGTTGCCTTTCTCGCAACTCCGACAGAAAGTACAGTAAATTGCAGATTACTCTCCTGGTGTTGAATTGATAGTTGAATTGCTTGACAAATAGGTTCTCTATAGAGGTGGTATGAAGCCCCTATTATATTGTTATGGTCAGCTATCTGACAGTAGGGCCTGCTAACAGAAGTTAGGGATTGAGACGTAATAACAGTATACTGGGTTGTGGTCTGGGTTGTAGGTTGTAGGCTGTAGTAGATCAGGTCTTTAGAGGCTAAGGTGATTAATCTTAGACTTAATAAGTGATTTGCAGTAAAACTAAGCTAAGAGTATCTATGAGGATAAATACTAAATTGATTACTAAAGAGCTATGGAAGTCTAACTATAAGTTAGGCTTAAGGTTATACTATATACAAGTTTTAAGTAGTATCCTCCTATTTCTAGTATTATTTCTAGTTCTATTTCTAGTTCTAATAGGGTTTATTTCTGCTAAGTATAGCCTTTATATTTTTAGTATATAAATCTAATTTTTTATCTTATTATTATATATTTTATATTATAGTTCTTCTGTTCTAAATAAGTTCTTATTATTCTTATAATCTTATAGTATAAATATTCTATTCTAGCTGCCTAATAATCTAGTAGGTTATATAGCTGTTATTTTTATTTATAGGTTATAATATTAGGTCTCCTCTCTAAAGGTTTTATCTTTAAGACCTAATATAAATAAGTTATTAGTTTTAGGTTAGGGATCTACTAATTATACTTCTTAATTTATCTATAATACTAATAATATATTAGGTTATATTTAGAAATTAAATTAATTTAACTTAGGTTTATATTCTATTTATAAAGATATTTTCTATTATTTTAGTTTTAATAATATTATACTTTATATTTAGTGTTTCTATATAAAGCACATATATTATATAGCTGAAGGCGTTAAAACTTATTAAGGTTATAAAAACTTAAAATATCTTTGTAATAGTCTAAAAATAATATTAAGTTAAAGGTTTTTTAGGTGTAGTATTAATATTTTTTAGCTAATTATTTATAATAAAAAAGCTAAGCAATTAGTTTTAAGAATAAGAGGAGAAAAAGGAGTAAGCTAGTGATATTTTACTAGACTTTTATAAAAGGTTAGTATAGGTTTAGGCTAAGATAGCTAAAATAGCTAGTTATTTGTTATATATTTATATGATTTAAAAGAAAGTGAAGGAATATTATATAGAGATATTTTCTGAGGGTATATAGGAGCTAGAGGAGGATAATATCCTTTTTATATTAGATATATATAAAATAGTGTAATAGGGGATCTTTAGTTTCTTAGTATTAAAGTAAATTTAGATTAATAGAGTTTTAATATTAATAAGGAGTTTATAGATCTTAGTCTTTTAATTAATAATGACTAATTAGTATTTTTAGGGGTTTCTTAGTTACGTTCTAATATTTTTAATCTAACTAACAGTTTTTTTTATTTTAGCTATTCTGCTTTTATGAGTGGTTTAATGTATTTATAGGGGTGTTTAATTTATAGGTAGCTTAAGGTGTTTAAAATAGTTAGTCTAATTAGTATAGATATTATTTGTTATTCCTAGTGTTATTATTAGTAGATTGTAAGTTTCTCTGCTATATTAGTAATATTTTTAGCTAGTTTTTATATATTATCTTTATATTTATATATTTTCTATTTTATAAGGTATTAATATCTTTTTAGTTTCTTAAGGTGGTTAATAATATATTTAACTTTATATTTTGGTTTATTATTTTCTATTATAATAATATTATTTATCTATGATCCCTATAATATTAGTTTAAGGAGTCAAATATAGAATATTAGATAATATTTTATAGTTTTTAAATGTTTAAGTTTATAGGTAACTAGTGAAATAATTTATAAGATTCTAAAAGGTTTAAGCTTTTTTGTAGTTTAGTTTGTTATTTAGTTATTTTGTTTTAATATTTTGCTATATAAAATAGATATTATCTCCCTCTTCTAAAGTTAGGCTTTTAATTGTTTATTTATTATACAATTATATTAACTATTTATTAGTATATAAATTTAAGTTCTTTTTATGTATTATCTTTAATATCTTTAATTTATTATATCAAGGTAACAGCTTTAACTGCAGCTAGGCTTATTTATAGTTCTTTATAAGTAGTTAGCTTAAATCTATAGTTAAGGTAGAAAGGGGATTTCTTAGTATTTTCTCTAATTATACTATTGTAAGTGAATTAGGCTATTATTAGGAGTATTACCTAATTATTCTAGTTATAGTTAATATAGGTGTAGAGGTATATTTCGAGGATTTAGTTAATATTATCTATTTATTTATTAGTTTATAAGTGAGATATAGTCTAATACTAAGTTATAATATAATTAACTTCTACAACTTAAAAGTGAAAATTTTATTTTTCTTTAATATAATCTCTTTAAGTGTTCTATAGTTAGTAATAATATACTTAAGAAAGGTATATATATATATATTAGTATTATTTAATTCTTTATATAAAATAAAGTAGGTATATTTTATAAGTTAATCTATAATAACAAGAGTATTATTAAAATATACTCCTATAAGGGGTTTTAAGATTTTAATAGTTTGATAATAAAGTTAAAGGATATAGATCATTAAGTAGTTTATAATATAAATGAAGGTTATAATATATTATAAGGTTAACATCAAATAGGTTTATTTTTTAGATATACTTTATAGTTCTCAATTACTTTTATTATATATTCTCTACTAACTTGTTCTCTATATTATTACTATAGTTATTTTTAAGTTTTTATGATGTTTTAGTAACTATATATAAGGTATATATAGAACTCTATAATTGCTTTATTATTTAGTTTGCTAAGTAGGCTAATATTAGATTGTTTAGTTATTAATAAGAGTTTAGTTATTAGCATAAAGGTTTTATTATTATTCTTTTTAAGAGTTACTTATATTTCTTTAGGTATTAGGATGTTATAGTCTAGTCTCTAGCTAAGAGTATTAACTGTACTATTATCTAATCTTTTTTAGTATATAATTCAAAAGTTAAATTTAGAGAGGAATTCTAATTATTATATTTATTATCTATTTAATATCTTTAAGGTAATAAAGTGTGAAAGGTTTTGATAGTCAGAATATATAAATATTTTATGAATTATTCTTAAGAGTTTTAGTCTTTATTTCTTAAAAGCTTTAATAATTGCTATAAGTTTTTTATTATAAATAGGGTAGTTAAATATAGGTCTGTAGAGCTTGTATAAGAAAAAGGCGTATAGACATAGGTGTCTTTCTGAATCTTATTAGGATAGTTATACTTTGATTATATAGTTAGATATATTTAGTTCTATTTTGAATTAGTTCGCAAGGTTTAGGATAATTAAGACTAGTTCATTTATAATAAGGGTTTTAATCTTCTGAAATACTACTTATTATAGTTCTTTTTATATAAAAAGTATATTTTTATAACTAAGGCTAGTAAGAGTTATATTAATTTTACTATAGTTTTTGATAAATTTGTAGTAGAAGTTAGTAAACCTTAGGAATCTTTAGATTTCTTTAAGGTTATTAGGTATTAGCTATTCCTTAATAGCTTTAATTTTGTTTTCTAATATATAGACCTTTTTAGGGGTGATAGTAAATCTAAGGTATTCTACTTTTTATATGTGGAATTTATTTTTCTTAGGTTCTATTAGGAGTTTAGCTTCTTAAAGAGTTAATAAGATATAGTGAACATCTTTTTTATATTTTTTAAATATTAGTGAGATGATAAGGATATTATTATATAGATATTAATATATTAACGTGGTTCATCAGTCAGCCAGCCGGACTAGTCAGCCGGACGTTTTTTTCTAAACACTCTTACGTCTAAATCACTTAAACCTTTGACGCGTAAAATCTCAACAACCATAATGCCAATCTACACCCAAGAAGACAAAGTCATTCTCGCGATTGAAGCAATCCGATCGACACGCGCTGCAGGTAATAACTTAAGCATT